CTTCTGGCCTGTAAAGTTGCTGCTGAGAAATCAACTGATAGCCTTATGGGGTTTCCTTTGTATGTAACTTATTTTTCTCTTGCTTTCTTCAAGATTCTATCTTTATTCTTAACTTTTGCCATTTTAGTTACAATGTGTCTCCACGTGGGTCTCCTTGGGTTCATCTTCTTTGGAACTCTTTGTGCTTCCTGGACCTAGATGTTCTGTTTTCTTTCTCAGGTTAGGAAAGTTTTCAGCCAATATTTCTTTAAATAACTTTTCTGTTTCTTTCTCTGTTTATTTTCCTTCTGGGATGCAAATATTTTGAGTGTTTGATGTTATCCTAGAGGTCCCTTAAACTATCCTCACTTTTAAAAAATATTATTATTATTATTACTCTTCTGATTGATTACCACTGGTGTATCTTTCAGGTTGCTGACCTTTTCTTCTGTATTAGCTAATGTTGTGTTGATTCCTTCTAATGTATTTTTCATTTGAGTTATTGTCTGCTTGGTTATTATACTTTCTAACTCTTTGTTAAAGTTCTCCCTAAGTTTTTTTTATTCCACTCTTAAGTTTGGTGAGCATCCTTATGACCATTTCTTTGAAATTTTTATCAGGCAAATGACTTATCTCCATTTTTGTAGGTCCCTCCCTCTCTCCCCGCTGTTTTTTCTTATTTCTTCATTTGAAAGATATTTTCTGTCTTTTCATTTTATTTGACTTTCTATGTTTGTTTATATGATTAAAAAAAATAACCCCTTCTCCCCCAGTTTTGAAAAAGTGGCCTTATGTAGATGCAGCCTTTGTGTAGGCTGTGTGTGCCAGGTGGTTTTGGCAGGCTGGTAGGAGCTAAGCAGGTGCCTAAGGTATCTGTGGGGGATACTGGCATACCAGGCCAGAGCGTCTCTGGGTAGGGAGGCCAGGTGCATGTAGTAATGCCCTGTTGACCCTGCTTGCTTCTTTTATTCAGGTCCAAAATGGTTTCAGGTGATGTGTCCAAAACAATCTACAGTGACATTGCAGGTAGGACAGAGCACATGGATAGAGCCCCCATCCACCTTGTGGAGGTAGAGGGGATGTAAACAATCATGCTCACTGTCACCTCAGACCTCATATAATTCCTGCAGTGCCCGGAGAGCTCCTGTGGCTGCCCAGTTTTTTCTTAACAGTCCCTCGTTCTGTTGTATAGAAAGTAGTTGAGAGTAGAAGCAACCTCTGCATAGTCTTTATGTGCCAGGTGGTTTTGGAAAAGTGGTTGAAGCTTACAGTGCCTGGGGCACTGGCCTGCTGGGCTGGAGTTGCTCCCAGGAGGGAGATCAGACCCACGTGGTAATACCCTGTTGTTCCTGCTAGCTCCCTTTTGTTTGAAGGCAAAAGACTTCAGGCAATGTAGCTGTGAACACACTGAGGTGATCTTGCAGGTGGCCAAAGCACCAGAATAGAGCTACCGTTGCCATACCATACGCAAGTGGAGGGGGAGGTAAACAGTGGCGTTCCCTGGCACCTCCAGAGAGCTCCTTCTGCTCCAGCTTCCCAAGGGCTCCTGTGGTTTCCTACCCTTCTCTGTTAGATTTCTTTCTCTCCTTTGCTGTTTAGAAGCTGTTGATTCAGCCATCCGTTGTTTTCCAGGAGTAATTGCTCTCTATGTACCTGTATGTTTGATTTTGCTCATGGGAGGGGGCTAGTTCAGCATCCGCCTTCCCTGTTACCATCTTGGACCTCCAGTTTGTTTATATTAAACAAGAGCCTACTTGATATAGAGGTAAATGTGGGCAGAAGGGGAGCATTCTTAGTTCAGTGATTTGGTCTCAATCTTTTATGAACCTATGTCCCTTGGGTTGACTTTCTGTGATGTAATAAGAAAGGTATTTGGTCTTTGTCCCCAGTCGTTAGCAAAAACCTCTTGAAGCCCTTGGAATTACCTGAGTGATATGGGTGACAGAGTGTTTTAGTTTGAATATGGCAATTCTTGGCCAGTTCCTAGATAGCTTCAGGATGGGGCTTACACCAGAAATGCCAAGCCTCGATAGAGACTTGGAACTTTCAGCCCCAGGCTCCTAGCCTGTGGAGAGAGGAGAGGAGGTAGAGAGTGAGATAATCACTCATGTTTAGTGCTTTAATAAATTGTGCCCATGTAATGAAACCTTCATCAGAACACCTAAAGACAGGATTCAGAGAATTTCTGGGTTGGTGAATACATCCAGGTTCTGGGAGGTTGACATATCCCTTCATTTCTACCCCCCAGACCATTCCTTTGCCCTATGCATCTGTTCCACTTAGCTGCTCCAGATTTGTGTTGTTTGTAGTTAACCAATACTATAATAGTAAGTAAAAAGCTTTACTGAATTCTCAGAATTATTTTAGTAAATTACCATATCTGACAGAGTGTGGAGGGAATCTATGAATTTGTAGATGGCTGAGTAGAAATGTCAGTAGTCTGGGCACCCCGTTTGGGGCAGGTATCTGAAGTAGGGACAGTGTATGGGACTGAGATCTTAATCCGCATCATCTCAGAAGTGCCGCCTCATGTAGAGCTAGGAAGGCTGGAAGAGACTCAAGTTGCTTATTTCCATACCCCCTGGTCAGTTAGGCTTTGGGAAAATCCCAGTCAGTTATGCTCTTGTGAAATAGGTTGTGTTAAGGACATGGCTTGTTAAGAAAAAGAGAATATTCTGGTCATATTTTAAAATGGCTACTTTTTTGTCTCTCTGCCTAACTGCGGAGACAGTGGTTCACCACTTGCCCTCAGTACTTTGATGAAGTGTTGATTTTAAGTTTCTTGGCTTTTCTGAGGACTGGAGCCAGCTTCTAAGCTCCTTACATGAAAGATCAAAACGTCTCTGACTCCTTTTCTGTGTGTGTTTACTGTTGACAACTTTAAAGCTTCACCCCTCCTTCATCCCCTTCTGCCCCACATGTAGTGATAAGAAATGCTGGGTGTTCCTTCCATTGGCTCTAGCATGTTATTCTATCTACTGGAGGCCCTGCCCCTGTACCCAAACTTTCACCCTAGCCCGCATCTGCTAACCTCAGTAAGGCTCTTTTTCTTGCTTTCTGTCATCATTTCACACTTGCTTGTGGGGCCTGCCCTTCCTGACCTCCCCAGTCACTTCCATTATGGAAATAACAAACCCTTTCATTCCCTCTAGGCATTTCTTTGTTATCATCAGTATTAGACATCTAAACCAAATTACCTGTGGGGGTCCACCTGCCTGTGCAGGTGACTTAACAGTTACAAAATATGTAACATGTTTTTATTTTGCTATTCACTTTGCTTTATTTTTCTATTGATAAATCCTCCAGATCTCTTTATAATAATACATACCACTCTTGTATGAGTGTACAAGTTCAAATACACATAAATTCTGTGGATAGTGTTGAAAAGTGGCTGGGCTATAGATATTGATAGAGTTCAAATTTACAGGCAATAACAATGGAGTGTATCAGTTGACCTTCCATTCGTGCATAATTTATTGATTTGTTCAATCAATGGTTCAACACTTGAGATTATTAAATTGACTAATTTTTGTTCAAATCACTGTGAAATTATAGCTACTAGACATTTTGTTTGTCTATTACCTCATTCCCAAGGTGGTGGATATTTTTTCGTGTATTTTTTTTATCTTCTATTAAATGTTTTGCTTCTTTTTCCACTTTTAAATTGTGTGTTCATTTTTACACTGCCAACTAACCCTTTTTATATTGCATGAATTGCTGACATTTTCTTCCACTTTGTTGTTTGTTTTTTAATAACCTTAATTTTAATATATTTGCGTTTGTCAGACTTTTGGCTTTATAGCTTATTCTTTTTTTATTTTTTATTTTTGTTTAAAATATTACAGATGTCCCTTTTTCTCCCCAATGACCCATTCCACCCCATCCCTTCCCCCTCCCCAGTCCCTCTCCCCACCATTGTCCATATCCTTGGGTTGTGCGTATATGCATATAAATTCTTTGGTTACTCTCTCCCCCTCCACCCACCCACCCTCCTCCATCCCTCTGACATTTGTCAGTCTCATCTATGCTTCCATGTCATTGAATCTATTCTGTTCATCAGTTTATTAAGTTCTTTAGATTCCAC